GGGCGATAGCCATTTCGCCACTTAATGTTGCGAAGGATATTCCAGAGGACCAAAGAGATGGGTTGAACTCAAGAAATGACCGGGTAACCTTTGAGGAAAGGTGACCGGTCATGTTGCGCTACTTGAGAAGGGCAATCAACATCAGAGGCTAGAGGACACCCCGCCGCTCATCCATCACGAGGCAAACAGTGAAGGGAATTATTGGCGTTTTGCAGGATTGATTGGATTGAGAATATCCATGTTAGTCTTTGATTGAACAGTGCATGTCTTGGCTTGTAGTTGCTATATTCATTGATTGAATAGTAAATTGATTATGTACAGTGACCTTCCTCCGAGTTTCCCATTTTGTCCATGGATGAACAGGGGAAGGTCACAAATCCTTCTCTATAAATATGATGATATTGGATAGAGGAGGGGATCAATTCTTTCTCTCACTAAAAACTAGTACACTCTTGAGACAGAGTAAGAAATATATTTCGGACGGAGGAGATTTACCCGGTCTAGATCATACTTTGTGTTCTTGTTGTGTGTTTTATATTACGGGTCAAGTGTCCAGGTCAAACCCGGTCAACCCAACCATCTATATTTACACCATCATTTTTGGCGCCACCCGTGGGACCGATTTTTAAAGTTTTTTCGACCAGGTCAAAACTTTACCCCCACTAAATATCCGCAATCATGTCTTCAAGCAACCACAACACTGTGTCAAGCCAGGCTGCGAGTGAGAGCACTCCTGCCATCCCATTGATGATGCCAGGCATGGGAACGACCTTTGCCCCGATCACCACGGTAGGATCAGTTGGCATGATCCCAATCATGTCAACCCCTACTCCTGCTCCAACGACAACAATGTTCCCAGGCTCGATAACAACGCTTGGGAGGGCATTCACGCCATATCCGACAAGCTTGGCTCAATTTGTTGCTGACCCGGCAAATGCTCAAGCTCTGCAGGGCTATCAACAGGTGATGGCCATGATGCAACAAGCAGGGGGCTTCATGCCATTTGCATATCCGGGCATGATGCCACCAATCATGAGTTCAATGGTACCTCCAGTGTCGACCCCGTCGACATTCGTCCCTAGGATGGTCCCTATACGTCCGGTGAATTTGACGGGGACCATGAACGAAGCAGCACCATCGAATATCCATGAAGTTGACGAGGCGGAGCAAGAGGCAGCCCGCAGAAGGAAGGGTAAGGCTATAGCCAAACCCAGCAAGACCCGAGATTCGGCGTTCATACGCCTAGGGGACAAAGAGGATAGACCTTGCAAGTCTGCAAAGCTACGTCTTGGTCCTGAGACGGGCCAGACTAGCGGAATGGAAAGACTTGGCGGGAATCGTCCCGCCCAATCTCGTTGTTCTAGGGAATCTGAGACGATTCACCTAGACGAGGAGGAAGCTGAAAGCCAGCCTAGGGCATCGACATATACCGGGCTCTCATGCGATGAGGATGACCTGGACAAGATAGGGAGCGTAGCAAGAAAGCTACGTGCCCTGGAAGAAAAGGTGGAAGAAAAGGTGGGAACGAAAAAGCACACCCTAGCCAAATCTCTCTTTT